TTCTTAGCTGAAAGGAGTGGCACCCGGTGAGGTCTTCTGCTGCTGAAGCCCATCTGCCTTTTTGGTCTGCAGGAGGAAGCCGGAGTACCCGGAGAGAACCCACGCATGCACGGAGAAATCATGCAAACTCTACCCAGAAAGGTCCCTGGACCGGGATTTGAACCAGTGACCTCCTTGCTGAGAGGCATCAGCTCTACCAACTGAGCCACCGTGCCGCCACTACTTAATCTTATAGTACAAAATTTTTTCACGCACACAAAAAACACTGGTTCACATGGGGAAAATTAACAACTAATAGTAAACAAAACAGGAGTTCTTAGACAGACTTGCACTCCAGCAACCCCATAGAAATCTAATCAGCCTGCTATCACATAAAAAAACAAAACATCAATAATTAAACACAAATATAAATTGATTCCCTAACCGTAAGAGGATGGATTTTAATCTCACTGCTGACAGCTGCAGATTCACAGTAGCATGTAGTCCTATCAGTCGTAGCTTCAACTTTATCTAAATTTCAACAGGGCTATAAATTAAATGCATATATTTTACTTTTTGAGCGAATTACAGGTAATTTCCTATGGCCATGAAATACCACGCGCTGGCTTGGCAAAACATAAATATTAAATCAGAGCCCTACAACCTCGCTGTCATGGATTCTCATCTTTCCGCATGCATTAACTTTATAAAACAAAAACAAGAATAAACAGCTCTATTATCTCTGTAGACCCCAAATTTTCACCGGCAACTAAACCAGTGACTCATGTCATACAAATGCCTGCATACACACACCAAGAAAGGTCACAGATGAGGTGAATACAGTCAATAAATCCCATTATCAACATCCACCAAGAACCCTGCTGTCTTTCCTCAAAGAGAAAACCCCTACTTAATGCAGACTAAAACAATGGAACATTGTAAAAAAGTTCCACAAAAATTTAGAATTTACACAGAGGTCTCATCAGAGCAACAAACAGTCCACAGAATCCCCGAACAGAAACTTTAGGTCAAACCCCATCCAACACKAACATCATCCACTGAAGTGCTCTCTGTCTGGTGAAAAATGACTCAACCTTTTAGCCGGCTTGCAGAAAATGGTTCAGTGTGATGGCGGTGTCTGCTGGAGGATGGAACCTCTGTCTCGTGACGCCATTAAATGAGGTGTAAAAACCGGGTCATCTTGGTTCTGCAAAACTGTTGCTGCTCCTGAAGAGAGAAACTCTGAAACAGGCTGGTTGAACAGCAAAAATCTTTATTTTGCACCCAGGAGACTTACAGCCAAGAACCAAATCGTGGCCTTCTAAGCCAAATGAATCACCAGGTAGGGGCGTACAAGCCTTTTTATAGGTTTCACAATGCAGTCCAACAGATGTACCATAAATTTTGTCACAGTATACCTTAAGTATTCCTTTCCTAATATGGTAATGTGCCGAGCTCTGAAGCTGGAGAATAAGAGAGACACAGTACATCTATGCATTCCTGAGAAGAGGCCCCCACTTTTAGACACTACACCTGTTTTACTCAAATGCTTGTTTAATCAACTATTGCCTTACAGTAAAGTGATTGTTTTTCTTTTTATTATTCAATCTAGCTAAAGTTGATTGTTGAGTTTGTAACTTCACTGAGTTATATTTTGAAATATGCTTACAGAAATATTTGTGGTTTAATCATAGAGAAATTTTTCTTAGATTTATTTCAGTTAAAATGATTCTTGAGCATTCATTGAACTTTAGTCCAGTTAAACTTGTTGTCCCTATAAACAGGTGTAAAAATGTTTTTCTCTAGCAAGAAGTTCTTCAGACTCAACATTCTTGTTCTGCCTTTACTAACTCAAGGTCATGTAGCTGTCTTRCTCTTTAGAATACTAACCCYYACTTGATTCYGACAGTCTGAGAGAGAAAGAAGARAAGAAAACAGCCATTTTTCGTCTCTGTTGTTCTTCCTACYGGAAGGCAGCCAGAKAGAGGTTTTTGTCTCAATTGCTAATGAGAAAAAATATTCTGTCTTGGCTGGAGGCAACGTCAGCCTCTGGCCACCCTTTGAACTTTTTATCCTGAGAGAGAGAGAACTTTAACAGCAGGCTGGTTCTGGTCTCCTGGCTAGACACAGATCTCCTAAGATGCAGTGTGCAAAGCCTGGGGTAGTCGCACGGGTCATAAGCTTTCCTGACCTGGGGGCCTCACGGACCTCGTCCTCRAGACCATTTGCTGACCTACCGGTTGAGTCATCAAAGGTAGAAGCTATGTTTGTAAGCGTATGAGATCCAACTGACAGTGAGAGCGCAGACCTGGGACTGTGCTGGTTCTGATTTTGATAAGAAAAATGATAAAAACTAAATCTACACTAATCCTCCTTTTTCATAACTTTTCTAAAACTAAAGATTCTGGCCATAAGCTAAAGTGCCTGTAAACTGAGTTTAATAACATCTAAGACTAGGGCTGCCACGATTAGTCGATGACTAAGTGATTATTAAAATAGTCAATGACTAATTTAATAATCAATTAATCGTTTTCTTTTTTTTGTTCTTTAATTTGTTTTTCTCTCCAAACTGCTTTGACACCTTCCACTGCCACGTCTGCCTTTCTGTCCTTGAC